AATTTTACTGAAGAAGTATATCCAGAAGAAGTGTATTGTTTTTATCTTCTATGTAAAATAGAAAATAAAAGTCTTCCTAGAAATGAAGGTTAATTATTTAAATATTTTCTTCTTTAGGATGTCTATACTAAAATTTTTTTATTTCTACTATTTTAACATAAAAAATGAGGAAAAAGTCTGAGCCCTTTAGGATGGAAAGGAATTAGGCATAAATTATTTTCTTTAAAAATTTAGAGATAATTAAATAAAATCAGAGGAAGATAATCTCATTTTATTAGAATTTATTTTCAAAGATTACTTTTATTCAATGTAAAGACTGGCAAATGCTATTCAAAACATTTTTAAAGGATTTTGGTATTCTGTAAAGGGTAGCTTCTGTTAAAGCAGAAGTCTGGACAGGCACGAAAATAAAGATGCTTCATTCAAAGGAGAGTAAAGGATATTTGTAATCTTAAAACTGACCAACATTGTCAGGTGCCCTTGAGTGCATTCCGACTAATAGTGACCCTGTGTACAACAGAATGAAACACTGCCCAGTCTTGTGCCATCCTTACAATCGTTATGTTTGAGCCCATTGTTCCATGTGCTGTGTCAGTCCATCTTGTTAAGGGTCTACGTCTTTTTTGCTGACCTTCTACCTTACCAAGCATGATGTACATCTCCAGGGACCGGTCCCTCCTGATAATATGTCCAAAGTACATTAGATGAAATCTTGCCATCCTCACTTCCAGGGTGCCCTCTTGCTGTACTTCTTTTAAGACTTGTTTGTTCTTCTGGCAGTTCACAATATATTCAGTATTCTTCGCCAGCACCACCATGCAATGTGTCAGTTTGTTGTAATGTGGTAGCCTATGTGTTGCTCTGATGCTGGAAGCTATGCCACCCGTATTTCAAATACCACTAGGGTCACACATGGTGAACAACTTTCAGCGGAGCTTCCAGACTAAGACTAGGAAGAAGGATGTCGATCTGCTTCTGAAAAAATTGGCCAGTAAAAATCTTATGAATAGGTTAAATATAAAAGCTTCTTAACTCCTCTGGAAATCTAAGATTCCATTATTCTAGTATCAGAGTTGCCCAACTTTGGAGACATTGGGAGTAAGGCTTGAATAGCAGGGTTTTTACTACTCTGGGGTGTTTATTAGTTAGAAATGGTAACACCTTAAAGTTGGATACATCGAATTGTTAGGTGAACCCTTTTAGTTGCCCATAGGCACATACAGCCTTTCATAGGCATACACTCAGCTAAAGCAGCGGCATGCAAATAACCTGTACTCATCTGGTTAGCTTTTCACTTTGCTTTTTGACTTTTAATTCAAACTAAACAGTAATATAAGAAGTTTTAATAATAATCCACGAACTTCATCCTTTTTAAAAGGTAGTGTGGCTCTCTTCCTGTAGTGTAACCATAGCAACTGACAAGGAACAGAGAAAGACGGCTTTCACACATGCTGTGTTAATTAATCCTGTCCTATGGTTTTCCTTCAGCTGGAAGATGCAGTTTAATAAATTTTGCATGAGTAAGCATGTTTTGATGCATGAATTTTGCCGAGAATATTTGAAAAAAAAAAAAAATCACATATTCAGGTTTCAAGGTATACTTCCTTGTTTTGTTTGTTTTTGAGTCATTGTTTTAATAATTTGCTCCATCCCTGAAACATTTTAGGATTTATTTATCTTTTCAACCAAACATGCATTTTTAGGGTGAAAACCTTTTACTCATCAGTGTACAGGATGCTGTCCACAAGAAAATGTTTTAATTGACTATATTAAAGTAAGATGATGAAAGAGTTTTTCTCAAGTGTTGCAGAAGAATGTACCTTTAAAACATAACATTATTCATCCTATCACATATTTACTTGCAAGCCACTGTAAGAAACTCGGTTTTAACACTTAAATTCATTTATATATTGAAAACTCTCATTTTCACTATTGTTTTGAGAGGTGTGTGCCCCATTGGAATGGAGTTTGGGCAATCCTCAACCTAAACATGTGGGAAGGAGGAGGATCTTGTAGATGAATAGCTTTTTCTATTTATATTGTCTAGAAATATTTAATAACCAGTTGATCAAATTCACAGTCAGAGTGAACATAACCAAAAAACCCATTGCTGTGGAGTCAAATTTCAATTCATAGTGACTCTATAGAACAGGGTAGAACTGTCTCATAGGGTTTCCAAGGCTGTAAATCTTTACAGAAACAGACTGCCACATCTTTATCCTGCTGAACTACTGGTGGTTTTGAACCACCAACCTTTTGGTTAGCAACCCAGTGCTTAACCACTGTGCCACCAGGGCTCCTTGAGTGAACATAATGGGCCTGAAATCACGTGTACATATTTTGACTTATACTATTTCTAGGTTATTTTGAGTTCTTGTTCTCCCTTAACTGAGAATGTCAGAGTTTCTATAACTAGCCTGCTCATCGGAGCTGTCAAAGAAAATCTCAGCTTTTCCTGTTCTTCTATCCCTGTAGACTAGCTTTCTGCAACACAGCCTCAGGAAAACCAAAAGAGTCAGACTAAATGTTTTTTGTGTCCCATTTGACTTGACAATTACATATGGAATGAGTCGGAACCTATTTCAGGATTTATGCTTAGCTCTTTGATCCTTGTATGGAAGCATGATCATTTGAGGAACCAGACCCTTTGATGGAACTACCAAATCGAGAGACACTCAGCTCTCCTGATTGTCCTATCTAGTGATCATTTGTGCCTAAACTGAGGGAGGTTAAAATGTTGTAGAGAAAAGAAGTAGAGTTATTATGAAAATCCATTATCAAAAAGTTATACCATATATGTTATGTGTACAATTTGTGCATTTTAATACAGAATATTTATAAATGTTAACCAATTTATAATATGCCATTGCAGTGTTGTAAAAACTGCATTGTAGAAAATACATTGAGTGACTAACAGTTGAATTAATTAGAAATTCTTTGTATCACCAACTGTCCTATTAATTTTAAAATTTGCATATAACACAGAAAATGGAATGTCTTGTGTTTAATATACAGAAAAAAGTCATGTTGCTAAATATTACACAAAAGTATAAATAATTATAGAATTAAAATGACTGTAATCATGGTAGGCTCACTGTAAAAGTTGTTTATGTATTTTGAGCATTACAGTGGTAAATAAGACTTTACACTTGTCCTTACTGAATATTCTTTAAAAGAAAATCTACGTATTTTGTGTTTTTTAAAAGAAATGCATATTCATTATACAAAACATAGAAAAAACTTGGGAGAACTTAGTAAATAAAAAAGAGATGTAATCCCATATTCTATAGCTAACCACTGAAGACATTTAAAAGTCATTTATTTTCTGTTAATCTTTTTTCTGTGCATATGAGTATAAGCTACATATACTATTTCACTTATATTATTGTGACCATTTTCCTCAACCTTTAAAATTTCTTAGGGAACCTTTTAATTTGCTGTATACTATTTCATCAACTGTGTGTACACGATTTATTGAACCGTTCCTTTATAATTATTTATTTGTGTGCTATTCATATGCAACAACAAGCTCAAACATAGGAACAATTGTGAGGAGGGCGCAGGGCTGGGTAGCGTTTCGTTCTGTTGTACATTCGGTTGCTGAGTTGGGGTTGACTTGACAGCCCCTAGCAACATTCATAGGAGCTTCCCAGATAAACATTTCCTAGTGAGTGTTTGGCAGAACACTGGAATCACAAGAACCTTTGAGGAAAACCTTTGAGAAAAGTATCAGACTTTCTTCTTGGAGATTTCCAACATGCACAAAAAAACGAAGGATACAGAAGTCTCCTAGTATGGAGAGTTTCTTAAAACCCATCATTTTATTTTTATTTTTTCCAGAGAAAAAACAGCATATTATTTTTATTAAATAACCACCTGACATTCCTCTAAAATACTTGTTTCCCTACATTTTTTTTGTTTATTGTTGTAGCTTAAGTGAAAGTTTACATTTCAAGTTAGTCTCCCATACAAAAATTCACACATACACTGCTATATGACCCTAATTGCTCTCCCCACACTGTGACAGCACACTCCTCCTTTCCATCCCTGATTTCCCGTGTCCATTCAACCACTCTTAACCCTCTCTGCCTTCTCATCTCACCTCCAGACAGAAGCTGCCCATTTAGTCTCATGTATCTACTTGAGCTAAGAAGCACACTCTTCACAAGTATCATTTTATGTCCAGTCCAATCTTTGTCTGAAGAGTTTGCCTCGGGAATTGTTTTAGTTTTGGGCTGACAGGGAGTCCTAGGGCCATCCTTTCTGGGGTTCCTCCAGTCTCAGTCAGACCATTTAGTTTGGTCTTTTTACCTGAATTTCAGTTCTGCACCCCACCTTTCTCCTACTCCGTCAAGGACTCTGTTGTGTTCCCTGTCAGGGCGGTCATTGGTGGTAGCCAGGCACCATCTAGTTCTTCTGGTCTCAGGCTGATGAAGTCTCTGGTTTATGTGGCCCTTTCTGTCTCTTGGGCTAATACTTTCCATGTGACTTTGGTGTTCTTCATTCTCCTTTACTCCAGGTGGTTGAGACCAGTCCATGCATCTTAGATGGCCACTTGCAAACTTTTAAGACCCCAAAACCCATCATTTTAAATCCATCTTTTCTCAAAGTTATTTGGCCTTGAAACTTTCTTATAATGCTTAATAACCCACAGAACTAGAGTTCCATGAGCCCTATCTTACAAAGTCAAAGAGATTTGTAAGCTTACTTGTAATATCTAGTAGTTGATGAATTATTTGTTCACTCTGCTGGTATTCTTAGATTTTCATGACTCCAGTGCTTTATCATGAAATGTTAAGTGATTTATTGGTAATTAGCATGCATTTGAAACAGATAAACCACAATATGCTTTTCCCAACCTTTCTATTAACCTTGTTATTGCATTCAGGCTTCTGTATTACAGTATTGCGTTTGACCTTTTAAAATGTGAACATTCAAATCTAAATTCCCTTGTTTGATTAATGCCCATTAAACGTCTTTACATTTCATATAACCCACAGGTCTTGCAAGAGCAAAATCCGTCCCTAGCCACACATACTCCAATGAAGTGGTTACCTTGTGGTACAGACCTCCAGATGTCCTCCTGGGCTCGACAGAGTATTCCACCTGCCTTGACATGTGGTGAGAAATGAAAGCTTTACTCTAGCTAATCTATCTGTAGTGCTTAGTCTGGGTCAAGCCTAGACAAACATCCTAACAGCTTGAATGAAGATTAATGGTGCAAGAGTGTTTGCATGGGTATGGCAATACTGTTGGATTTTTTAAAACATGATTGGGAATGTTCTCTAATCAGAGTCTCCCTTGCAGATGGTGTCTGGTAATGATTCTTGATGGACAGGGACAGAGACATTTTTCTAACTGTCAGGGCAGTGATTTTTCTTAATTTGTTACCTTATATTATAACAAGGAAGCAGCATAGATTGAAAGTAGCAGGGAACATGTTAAATTCACAACAAAACTCAGATACGTGGTCTGAAAATTTTGCTGCCAATGGTTAAGAACTAGATTAGGTGTCAGTATACCTCTCAAATCTGTTGATACCAGTTATCCAAAATAAAATAAAACAATTATTTTTTAAAATATTGTGGTAATGTCAGCATTGTCTCACTTTCATATAATGGTTTAGCAAAGCTTAAAAATTATCCTATGAGGCCTAAATACTAGCAAGAATTAATATGTAATTATTATTAATGGTGAACTATGCTGCATTCCAAATCAAGTGTGGTAGAAATTAAATAATCAAATAAGGAAACAGTATGTTTTCAGCACTCAGAAAAGGCTCGTGGAAAGTGTCTTTTATTGATAGAAAAATCGCTCTTCTAAACTCACAGTTATGTTGAAAGTAAACCAGTTCACACAGCATATCACTATTATATAACAGGAATCATCTTCCTTGAATGATTATGCCCTCATATGCAGATTTCAGCTTCATGTTCATATAATGTTTATGACCCCAGTAAAATGACAGCATGTGTTGTTTGTCTTACTGCTGTGTACTTACTTCACTGTTCCACCTTCAGTAATCTTGGCTGTTAGTAAATTAGGCTGTGATGAGGCCTGGTTTCTTCCTTGATGTTTTTGATCCAAAAATTCTATGGTGAGAAAACAATCAAGTTCCTTGCAAACTCGAGCACAGTATAGATTTCCTTAATTTAGGTTCCAGCACCTCCCTGGGTCTGAGCCTTCAGGATCTGAAAAGCCACTGAAAATACATGCAATATTTTGTATTCACGTGGGTATATTTATTTTTATGGCGTGTAGATCCATAGATTTTCACAGAGCTATAAAAGAGTCTAGGTTCTCAAACAGCCTGAGATTTACTGCCATAAATTTTATGTTGCCTTATAATAAATCTAATATCATTTTAATCCATATTCTAAAACACTGAAGATAAAAATGATGGTCTGTCATTGAGGGGCTGAGCTAATCTATATTTTCATCACATTTCCTGGCTTTCTTTTGGACAGTTGATTACATAGTTAGGTTTTTTTTCCCAAAGGCTATACGAGAGCATGCCAAACCAAAAAGGAGCCCTGGTGGTGCAGTGGTTAATAGCTTAGCTGCTAAAGGAAAGGTCAGTGGTTCGAAACCACCAGCTGCTCCAAGGGAGAAAGATATGGCAGTCTGCTTCTGTAGAGTTATACAGCGTTGGAAGCTTTATGGGGTCTCTATGAGTTGGAATCAACTCGATGGCAGTGGGTTTGGATTAAGCAAGGGCATGGGCAAAGTAGAAATTTAGACTATTAATTTTAATGGAGAAAAGGTTGAAAATGAAGACCAATGGATGCATTAGGATATCAGTGATTAGTTGTCTCATCCCCTTCCACCGTCCTGACTTATAGTTGAGAGTTGGCTTTGGAAGTAATCATTACTTAATATTCTTGAGTTATGGGTGGTTTAGTCTATTTTTTGAGTGTGGAAATTCTAGGTTGTTTTTCAGTGGGGTCTTTTAAGGACTCTGCTAATAGAACATAGTTTGGAAACATTTGTGGCTTGGAGCCAGTTTTGTTTCAGTGCTTGGCAGTTCAGTAAGACTGTACCCTCGCTAATCAGGAGAAGCTATTTTTTATACACTGGTGGCTAATATTTTCCAAATGTTTGAAAGTGCTCTTTAAAATGCAAAGAACCACATGGACTGTGATTTGCTAATGTGTCTGTTTCTGATGTGTAGTATTTGAATTCCAGTCTGTGCCTCTTCCACTTATCTCCTTTTCTCTTCTGTGTGTGTGTGTTTTCTCTTAAGAAGAAGGCTTGGGCTCTTTCTGCCAATTTGCTTTGAACGGAGGCATGAGGGAAGCATAGGAAGATGACTGTTACTTAAATGGAAAGGAGGAAAACTGATAGAAAATAGTAGACCCCAAATGTCCTTTTGTCTGCATGCCAAGATTATTCATCGCCAAAAACACATATGTTATATTTGAGCTGCTTCCCTTGCTTTTTGGCTCTTTACTTCCAAACCCTCAGATCTGAGTTATGTCTGTGCTATGCCTGTCATCCTGAATTTGATTTCATTCCAAGCCATTTTGTTATTATCCCATGAGTCAGGTAAATGTATGTATCTTTCCAGTTAGAGAGAAGTCCACAGGGCACTGAGTTTTGTGTAATCAATAGCATCAATGTCGTGTATTCAAAGACCTAGAAATGGGACTGTAATTGAGTCATGGCTCAGCCGCACCAAGGAGAAGTGCAAGTATTAACCTATGGACAATAGCAGGAGGCAGGTGGCAGTGGTTTCAGGCTATTTTTACAGTTCATTTACCACTGTGGGGCACTAGGATGATAACTAAAAACTAACGATCCCTACCCAGTGTTACCTTTTCCAGTATTCTGTTTAAATAGCCACAGGCCATAAAAATATTAATGAAGACACATATGGATTAACGTTGTCATCAAGTGATGGAAATCAGAGCTCGACGTGTTGTGATTTACTGCTTGAGGTCTCCAGCACCGTGGCAGTGTGAATACACTGTGCTATTTGAGAATTCATCAAGAAAGCTACTGTTTGTCTCCCTCCTTAAGGGAGGATTTAAGCAGAGGAATCAAATTGCATATTGCCTCTTGTATAACTTTTCTTAATTCTTGGATTTTATAACTCTTTGAAAGTCAAGGCGTAGGAAATCATCTTTAAGCTTCTTTAAAAAGGCTTACAAAGTACTGAAAACCATGTTCAGAGAAGTGCAAATGCAAAAAGCAGCTTATCTATGTAGTTCCTCCCTTGCCTGGGAACTCTGCTGTAGCTGTTGAAGTCGTGCTCCAGATAAGCCTTATATTCCCTTTACGTTGTTGCTGTGTGCCGTGGAGTTGACACTGACTCATCGAGACCCCATATGACAGAGTAGAACTGCCCCATAGGGTTTTCTAAGCTGTAATCTTTACAGGAACAGATCACTAGGTCCTTTCTCCTGTGGAGCCGCTGGTGGGTTCCAACGTCTGACCTTTTGGTTAACAGTGGAGCACTTAACCACTGTGCCGCCAGGACTCCTTATATTATTTTATAGAAGCCTGTAAATATGTTTGGAACTATCTTTGTTTGCTAAAGCAGCAGATGGCTTCGGATTATTTTCAGGGATTAATTTTTAACATAGGGTGACAGAGTTATCTATAACTAGTAAATATCTCATCAAATCACAGTGCTTTTGAGGGACCAAAATATATCATAGCACTATCTTGTGGTCTTAACTACAGTGTCCTCCAACACGGTAAAGAGAATGATAGTATGTCAGTCTCTTCCTTCCACTGTCTTTTTAAAAGTTAATTAACATATTAACTATGCTTGTCAAAGTGTAGGGCAAATCATTTATAAATAAGCCTGTCAAATGTAATGAGATTGCATATTAAATCACCCTTTTCTCTATTACATCTTTGATTTAAGATTAAAATTAATTTATTTAACATTGTAGCAGCTGGATGGTTAGAAAGAAAATATCATACTAGTCTTGATATATAGAAAAATGTCTTCCTCAAAATTAATTTTGCATATATCAGAAAAGAAATTGCCTATTCGTTGGATATTATAAGGCCATTTAGCATTGCTTTTTATTAAATAAGCCTAATCATCATACATATTGGCAGTATACAAGGTTCTGCCACCATCTTTAATGTTCTCTCCTGAATCAAGGAACATTTACATAATGAAATAAGTTTTCCTAGGACTCAGGTGGAGTCTCTGGGTAGTAGAAAGGGTTAATGTGCTTAGCTGCTAACCAACAGTTTGGAGGTTTGTCTCTACCCAGAGGCATCTCAGAAGAAAGACTTGGTGATCTGCTTCTGAAAAACCAGCCATTGAAAACCCTGTGGAGCACAGTTCTACTCTGACATACATGGGGTTGCATGAGTTGAAGTCAACTCCAGGACATCTAGTTACTGGTTGAGACTCAGGTTTATTTAACAGTGTTTCAAGAGAGACAATTATAAATGAACCATACTTCATACCACCCCCTGATAATAAATTTGTTTTATATGAGGACATATAATTTAAATTTGAGTCTTACGTAATAATAGTAACAATAGTAAGTACTTTTATTGAAGAAATAACCATATTTTAAGACCTGTGTGAAGCATTCTAATTACTTACCTATTGTACCAAGATACAGAGGAAGAAAATAAAACCCAGAGAGACTAAGCGGTATATTCAAGGTCATACAGGAAATAACAGAGCCTACATTCAGACTCTGGGCTAACCCACTCCAAAGCACTTTGTCTTTACAACATATTGCATAATCTCTTAAGGTGGTTTATAAGAAATTTGCCTTTATTGTGCTACTAAAGGGACTCTAAATCACAAGTAGAGCAAAATTTTTATTGTATAATTTAGGTTATGCTCTATGCCATGTCAGATCTTTTGTGTGCTTAAAATAGAGTGGGTGGCTTTTGCTCTCACTCAACAGTCTTGTTGACTGCTTTTCTCCTCTGATATCAGTATTCTAACAGATTCGATTATATAGCCTTATTCAAGGAAGAGTTTCTGTGAAGCAAACTAAGACAGGAATCATTGGATTGAACACATTTTTTGTGAGACCAAAATCTGTGCTGGCATGTATTTTCCCAATTCCCAGCCATTACTTATTTAACACTTCTGCTAAAATTAATGAGTTCATTTTAAACAGAATGGTAGTAAGAGT